TAACCATTGCTGTTTGCAGTGTAGGAAGGCATAGAATCAGAAGTTCAATACTGGGTCATTTTAAGGTCTAACCCACAAATTATTTCTTCCATGGTGCCAGCTAGAGAATGGAGTTGAGGAAGACTGCAGAGTTTCTGAGGAGAAATAGCACTTTTCTGAGAGTGGTCACTGCATTCATTAAGAACTCGGAAGCCTGTCTCAGATTTGGGCCAGAAGCAGAAATTACCACTCTCCCAGGTGATAGCAGTGAACTACACCAGGCCCACCGGTAGCAAAATTCAAACAGAAGGTGATAAAAAAGCAGACAAAACAACACAATGCCAAGCATATTGAGTACTGTAGCATCAGGATGCCCATGACCCTAATCTTGATCTCTGTTCTGTGCTGCCCTTTGACCCTACAGGGCCTGAGTGAGCCTTACTTTGAGCCACTTGGACCTGCAGCTGTGTTTCTCCCCTTTGTTTGCTCCTGCTCCTTTCCACAAAAGACTCATGGTGGCTTCTGTGCAGGCCCTGTGGTCTAGTATGGGGACAAGCAGAAAACAAGGTGGGTTTTGCATCTCTTCTCTTTGGTGATGCACCATTTTGTCAGAGAAAAAGGGATGAGGTGTGACAGAGGAGAGCGTGTTTTGTATGTGAACTTGGAGACCCAGAGAAAAAAAGAAAACACTTTGGGGCATGAAGATTTTTATGTGAGAAAGGCCCTCGTGCTCCAATAGGAGAGAAGCTCACATCCTGTGAAATCTTGCTGGGGTGGGGGACCTTGCTCCAGGGAAGATGTAAAATAGGGACCTCAGCACCCAACTGGGTGACAGCCTCTACCACAAAACAAGCCTTGGGATGACTTCTGAAATCACCTCAGTCAGACTCCACCAGTGATTTCAGCAGCAACTGAGGATGATATTTTGTTTGTTTTTAATGGAACTTTGACAGAAGACAGCTGGAACTTCAACATCTTGTACATTCAACTGTAGCCAAAGGGATATATCATCACACAGAAAACTAATTGCACAGACAGGGATCAGACACCCCTGCTCAGAGATTCTCTATTCACAGTAAAGAGATGAAGGGTGCTACACATTTCCACCTGCATCCCCAATCACATATTCTCCAGCCACAAGACTGATTTTGGATGAGCTCTCTACACGGTGCATATTCTCAGTCCTTAAACAAGCCCAGAACTGCCCATGCCCACACTTTGGCACAGGAGATCACAGAATCATATTACTAGAGCCCTGGCAGTATCACTGGAATAGCTCTCCTAGGTGCCACATCTTTCATCCCACGGGGACTTTGCCTTCAAAGACACACTGCCTTTGCAGACATGCAACAGAGCCAAATCATATGGCATTTTCTGCCACTTGTTTACTGTTCTGTCATTTACCAGCAACATTGCACTGGATTAGGCCCAAAATATGAAAAAGCTGGTTACAAGGTGACCACAGACAGAGAAGACCATTTGCCAGTCAGGTCCAGGAAGAGCAAAATTTCCCCTCTCCTATGGCTACTGCATTCTGCAGATTAATTGTTTGTACACTGCAGGTCCAGCTGGGTTTCTTTCAGTGTGCAATTACCAGTGTGCAATAATTAGCAGTAAAAGAGCAATCAGTCTTCTGAAAACTGAAGTATTGATTATACTGACAGTAGAAACACAGAAAGTAGACAAAGCAGTTTTGGAACAGAAGTTTTCATTTTGTGTCAATCTGCCCTTATCATTGCATAGTGACAGCACAGGTCAGCGTGATCTCTTCAGATGCATCACAGAGAACTACTTCAGCCTGAGCAGTCCCCTGACAGCTTCCTGTTTTGGAAGGAGAGGATCTCCTTTTAGCCATCCAGAGCTTCTTTGCTCAAATCAGCTCCAGCACTTCCTCTGCATCTTCAGCCGCCTTCGCCATTCCTGCTTGTTTTCTCAGCAGTCCTGATTTAACATCTCCGCATAGCAACTGTCCTTCTGAATTAGTTGACATACCTTGTCAATAACACAGAGCAGCTGCATTTTTATTCTGTAAATACTAGTGGAAGATTATGTTATAGGGACATACGTTAATTCACTGTCAAGTGGCTCAAGATTTAAAGCACCACAATACCATAAAGTTAAATTAATGCAGAGTTGGATCAAAGTCAAGATATACTTGAAAATTTATACATGGACAAATGAGTTTTTTAAAAAGGCCTATTTGATATTCAAAGATTTTTTTAAATTATTTACTCAAAGAATAAATATTTGGAATAAAAAAAAACAGAAAACAAAGATTCTCCAAATATTCTAGAAAACAAGGGATACAGACACTTAAACTTGTGTCTATTTCAAGCATTTCATTTATTTTATGTATGTGATAAAAAAAAAGAAATAAATGTTCATATTGACTTTAGTGGCATTCATTGCATACAGATGATTTCTTGTCCAAGGAACATTTTGGATACAGTTACATTCAGCTCTCTGGGAGGACTTTTTAATGTCTCTTTCAAAAGCAGTTGTTTACACTGCTCTTTCAGGGCCCATTCCTGCCATTGTTCATAAATGCATTGGGACTACTCACCTGCACATGGCACAGTCAAAGCCTTAGCAGATACCTAGGTAAATAAAGGAGCAGACAAGGCAAGGCAGAAACCTCACTACACGCCATTGCACAAACACAAGCCCTGCTGTGATGATGCGATGGGAGCACAGAAAGGTTATGCATACACCATTTCATATGCAGCAGCTCTCTGATGTGCATTTACTGTGAGACTTATCTAGGTCTGTGGAAAACAGGGTAGGAAGAACTTTTACCAAAGAGTATGAGAACAGGCAAGTTTTCTCTAGAGCACTTGAAGGCTACACTATATCTTCTATACTTTGAAACTATACACTTCTTTTGACAAGAATTGCTTCAGCCAGAAGTATGGTAAAGTATCTTAGCAACAGTAGCAACGGGGTAGATTTACTGTACTGTAAAAGAATTAAAACAAAATGTATATAGCTGCTGACTGTTATAAATACATCCCTACCACTCTGAGGGGGTGTTCAATTATATTCCTGATTACTTTTCACATTTCCTTTCTCAAAGGGGCGGGGGCATTTCTCCAGTTTTCAGCTCACCCATGAAGAGCCCTAAGCATTTTAAATCCCCTTCAGCTTCAGCTCTGGCTAGTCAGGCCTTACAGTATAAACTGTCACTATCCCAGCTACATTAGCAAAAGCCATTACTGTCGCACTCTAGAGATAACCTCTGCGTGAGCTACTCCTGCAGGTGTTCAGCTGCCATCAGCCTAGAGCAGCATTTTCCAGCTCTGTCTACAGCAGGTGAGACTAGGCATACCAGGACTGCAATACTTCACATTCCTACTTGTCAGGCAAATAGAAGGCTTCCTGCAGTGGGGAAAGTTCACATAATTTCACCTTTTACACAGATCTGTAGTTTCCTGCGAGTAAAATAACCTGATCTCAAGCTTCATCTATGCACTCTACCAAATTTCCTAGTCAAACCAAGCCCTTTGCAGGCTTCCCACCTTTGGCACCAAGAGGTTAAGAGCACTACAGCACTTTCCTCCTTCTGCAGGGAGCTCTGAAGTAGCAAGGACAGGGCCTGCATCCCCCTCCTGCTGTGGGTGCAAGGGAGTGTGCTCAAGCACTGAACTGATCTAAGGCAATAGCTACAAAGTGAGAGCGAGGGCTTTAGATTTGAAGTAACAGAGAGACAGAGTACTGAAAATATCAGTGGGAAATATGAAAACAACTTTTCTTTCAGCAGGGGCAGGTGGGCTCCTGTATTCCTTTTAAGGATTATCCTCTGCAAGCAACTCTGGCAATGGCCGTGAATAACACACTCACCTGAGTATCCTTCCAGCAAACTGTTCAGCCTTCCTGGGAATAAACACTACAACTGCGCACCTTCTGGTGAAAGTTCATTTAATACCTGTGAAACACTTGAAAATCTTGTGGAAGATTATTCCCTCTCAAGGAAGAAAGGGAGCCCTTCCCATTTACTATGGCAGGGGAGGGATCTCAGTCCACACAGTTTAGAGCAGATTTACACACAAGGACAGAGCAGGTGGCTGCCTAGGACAGCAAATTGGTTAGGAAATGCTGAAAGTACACATGACTTAGGCTAGATATTTTTCAACTTCATCTACCACAGAGTGGCACAAAAGTGACTCTGCTTAGATTTACCCAGCTTTGTTTTTCAAGGCTTTTGGACTATCTGCTCCATCCAATGATCTGACACTGTCATTACTCCAGAGGTGTGGAAACTAATTCATCCTAAGTGTTCCCGTATTTCGAAAGGCTGCACTTGACTGCTGTTATTAATTCTGTGCATGATGAAGACACTTAAAGCCTCGCAGGCTTTCTCACATGCGGACGCCTTTCATGCCTCGCTCTTACTAGTACAGCAGATGAATTTCCACACACACACGCACACGCCCGCTCCTCACACCAAACGCCACCGCTGTGAATCGCGGCTGCCATCAATCACCCGCGCTGCAGGCACACGCTGACACGGACACCCGTGGGAGAGGCGCACTCGCGTCCCCGAGCGGCCCCGCACCCCTTCTCTTCTTCCTCTTCTTTTCTTCCTCCTCCCCCTCCCCTCTTTACCCCTCCGCCCAGCCACAGACTCCGCTCCACCGGGGTCCTGAGGCGGGTGCCTGCGCGAACCCCTAAGCCGGCCCCCGCGGTGGTGAGGGTCGAGGAGCCGCAGCCACACCGAGAGGGGACCGTAATCCCGGCCGTCTCCCGCAGCGGGGATCCCCTCTCTTCCGCTCCGCCGCTCTCCCTTTAAGGCTTTCGGAAACTTTTCTCCCCATCGCGCCGCCACGCTCCTGGGCTACGGGCTAGGCTAAACCGAACCGGGAAGTTTCTCCATAGGTGCCGGTCAGGAGCGACTTTCCCGCACGGTCCCCGGGCAGTCGGTAGAACCGCGAGGAGGAGCTCGGTTCGGGAGGAGGGGGAGATGAAGCCGGGGCGTGGGTAAGCCGCTCCCTCCTTCTTTCTCCTCCGCCTCCTCCCCCCTCCGCCCCGGCTGCTCCAGTCTAGCAGCCAGGCGGCCGCTGCCTCCGGCCGAAGCCGCTGCAATTGGGAAGCGCCCCCGGCCCCCGCGCTGCTGCCGGGATGGGGACGCCGCTGGCGGCTCCCTGCCTCCTCCTTCTCCTGGCCGGCACAGCGGGGCTCTGCCGCGCTTTTTTCTCCCTCCCGCTCCGCGTGTCCCGTCCGGCCGCCCCCAGCGGGTCGCTACCCGCCCCGGTGGTGTTGCGCCCGGCAAGCAGCAGCCGGCAGCCGGAGGCCCCCGGTGGCGCGGACGGCTTGGCCTTGGCTTCGGATCCTGGGGGCACCCTTAACCTTTTAGCTATGGTGGAGAATCTTCAGGGGGACTCCGGCCGCGGCTACTACCTGGAGATGCTGATCGGGACCCCACCGCAGGCGGTAGGAGCGGGCCGGGAGCTGTGTTTTTTTTTGGGGGGGGGAGGGGGGGACACAACTAGAAGGGGAGGCAAACTTGTACTCGGTAGGCGGGAGTCCGGCGCCCCCCTCGGCCCAAACTCAACTTTCTTCCTTTGCTCAATGCTGGCGCCTCCCTTCCCCTCCCTACCCCAAAAGACGGTGCTCGTGCCCGGCTGCGGCGGCAACGAATTTCCTTTGGGCCGGGCGGGAGGCTCGTCTCCAGGTGCCCCCCGGTGCGATGGCCGGTGACTGCTGGGGAAATTCTGCGGGGCTGGTGCCCGGTTTCAGGCTGTGTGTGTCTGATAGCGGTTTGGTTCGAAGCGAGCTGTTCTGTCAGTCGAAATGGCTGTGGTTTGGAGTCAGAGGGTGCTTTTCTCATTCTTTCATTTTTTAAGCTGCGTTTCATTGTGATCGGGTGCTCTGAAAGATCCTCCCGGCAGAATCACTCGAAATCTTTCTGCTAAACCAAGTGATGGGCAGGCAAAACCAACCCCTTCTTTCGGGAATTCATGTGTTACTGATTAACTACACAAAGAATGCGTGTGTTTAGAATAATTGTTTTCAAATAGACCGTGTTTCCTTCAATCTCCCCCGTATGCTTTCGCCAGCATTGCTGAAGTTTTTTTGCAGCGTAGTTGCTCTTTCATCTGTGTCATGAGATCGCAGGGGGAGCGGTGCTGGGCTGCTGGTGGGGATGACTAGTCAGCTGAGTGGGGATTAATTTCTTGAAAGCCCTCAGGGCTTTCCTTCAGAACTTCATGTTTGCTTTGGGAGTTTAGGTCCTTACGTTCCCAGTGTGCACAAAAAAGAAAAAAACAACAAACCCTTGTTCTTCTTTGGCTCCTCTACATAATAAAAAGTCATTGAATGCCAAAAAGCCTAGCCAGCAAAGTGTTCAGCCGTTGTCACATTTCTGGACTTCCGTGAGCAATCTTTTTTACACCTTGACGTCACATCGTCACCGTAATTGAAATACATGATGGTAAGATCAATACATGTATTAAGAAAGTGTAGCATTATTTTATGATCAATAAAAGGAGTTTAAAAAGTGAAAGCTAACTGGGACTGATGTATCAAGGTGTGGCCCGATAGCCACAGAGGCCGTGAAATAATTTTTCTTCCGTGTTGTGTGCTGCATATTTGAGTAGCTCCATTAGCCTGGCATTGTGTGTGTTTCATTACTCCAGGGAGTGTGTTGGTTTCTGCCAGAATCAAGGTACCGGGTTTGATAGGACTAATAATCCAATTCAGGATGTCTTAAATGAAAAAATAATTTCAGGTAGAAAAAGTGACTGTCAAGCCTATCATCTCCTTATATGTCATGGGGGATTCTGAAATTGGAAGAAATGAAGAAGGAAAAATATGATAGGCTTTTAATAATGTGACTAGAGGTCTAAGAGGGAGAAATGTGCTGCCCTCAGTGCACCTGGAGACTTCACTTACACTTAACAGCTAGTATTACTTGTATTGCATGTGATGTAAGGTTTCAGATAAACGCCTTGGTGATTTTTTTTTCCATCTGAAAAAAAGAAAATCTGAATCTGGTTGCAAAGCTTTTACTATTTTGAACTAGTTCTGAGATCTTGCAAAGTTAATTATTTAAAAGACCGCCACTGGTGTTTAGCGCATGTGAAGTTTTATTCACGAGTAGGCCCACCAAGGTTGTAAGCAAGGTTATAAATGCACTTGTGTTTCCAAAATCAGATCTTGGCATATAGTGACTCAGTAGAGTGCAGTTAAAATTTATTCTCTACTTCTGATGGAGATGAATTTGTTATCTCACTCCCTGCCTGAAACTGGAAGACTGGAAGACAAGATCACAAACGTACTTGTTGTTTTTCTGCTTCACAATGAATAGTATAAAGCTGCAAAGCCACTACAGGCTAGTGCTACTTGCATCCTTCACAGCGCTGGTACTAAAAGCAAGTATCTTGATACTGCCAAGCATTGGAATAGTCTTAAGCTCCTTGGGCAAGTAGTTGCTGGAGTCAAAGTGAGCCATGATCAGGTAGAAAAAGAAAGATGTCTCATATTGATTTAAATCTCCTCCCAACCTGGCTTTCCCTTATGTTAGAAGCTTCAGTGTAAAGTCATGCTTGGGCACCTTCCTTTGCTCTTGCACCCCTCCAGCATGGGACTTTCCTCCAGATGAGCACCCTTCCTTACCCAGGCCTCTCTCAAGACTGCCGAAACTGTACAGGGGTTAATGCTGCCCTGACATTTTGCCAAAGAGGAAGAAGGATGAAGCAATGATGAAGAGCTGCAGAGCAGCACGGCTTCACTTCTGCGGAGCAGAAAGGTGGACAGCAGAGCTGCTGCTCCAGATGGTGTCACAGAGAGGGGATAGTTAAACGCAAACAAGGCTGTAGTGGACAAAGACCAAATAGCAGGTTATGAGAAGAGGCACAAGACTTAATGTCATAGTAGCAGTAGTGCTGGTGCCTGTGACTTTGAAAGTGTGCGTGTTAAGCGTTGAAAGCTACTGGGCTAGTAGTGTTTGTGAAAGACTTCAGCTTTACTGCTCAATTGCAATTTTAGATATTTTTTTTTTTTGTTTAATTTCTGTTCTTGGAAGGAAGCTACTACAAAAAAAAATTGTTTTTCAGGTCATTTGAGGCAGACTATTTGGCTTACGTTCCAGTTCTGATTTGTCATATAGCAGATAAATACAGCACAGAACTGAGTTTCACAATGGCAGTTCTGAAACACTTGTTCTGACAATATAAAAATAGAGCAGCTGTGTGAAGTCAAATTTATTTTATTTTCAAAAGAGGAACCCTAAATGCAGTCAATCCAGTTTTGCAAAGTGTTTGCAGCCAAAGTATTTCCGATCCTTTCCAGTCTTACAATACAGTGTCCTTCCTAATCGTATCAGATCTCCAGACTAGCTACCAGGTAGGTGTCAACTGTCATTAACCCCATTAATCCTCATTCATTCACATACAGACCTACTTAAGAAATGTGTGAAAGGTGAAAAAGAAGGTCTATTGTATTGAAGAGTGTGATAGATTGGTCTCTTATTTCATGGATGTATTATTGTGTCCTACTTCTGACAGATTATGTGCTTTACACGTAGGTGCACTTCTCCAAGTCCAGATTTAACTCAGAGATGGCAAGAGCCCAATATGAATTGTGTGCACTGTTCTTACTTCTTATTTCTTTAAATAATCTAATGGAATTCCCTTGCTCTATATTTTATTATTTTGTCTGTGCTGAGATTATAAGCACTGTGAGGAATTCAGTCAAAGATCATTTGGGGTTATTTCACTATTATCACTGCAGCTCTCTTCATATTAATTTTGTTTCTTGAATGAGCTTTTGACCAACAGAATAGTCAGACTCTCAAAGCACCCCATGTTCTTCACAGTTTTCTTGAAGTCCATCTGGAGTGCATTAAATGTTTGCAAAGGAAGTACTCTTGTCTCATCTTGCCTCTTGTGCTAGTTATCATTGCATGAGGTAGCGGTAGTCCTGCCAGTCCCACTGTATTTCCAAATTCTGTTTTTATTGAGACCAGGTACATGTTATTATTGCAACTTCATTGCGAAGAGAGTCTGGGCATGTGCCTTCTGAGAGCTCAGAGTCATGTAGCTGTGGTGTGATTGAAACCACGATAGGATCTGATTTGTGCTCTGAATGCCATGGCTCCTTTTTGAAATTTCAGTGTCAATTTTTCATTCTATGCATGAAGAGGTATTGTCTGTTGTTTTTCCTAATGGCAGTTTGTTCTGTGCAGGGGGTGAATAAAAACCTGGCCTGTAAACTTGCTCTGAGTTTTAAGGTCAACGTTTTAAGGTCTAATGGTTTTCACTGTGAAACACAGACTCCAGTTCCCATGTAATTGATTGGAGGGGATATTTGCTTCAATTTCTTCTGGCTATTAAATAAAAGAAGGATAAAGAAGGATATATATTAAACACCTCAAGTGTGTCATGTGCTCTTATAATTTACAGCTTGGTATTTTGAAGGTGATGAACACACATATTAGTGAGTTCTGAACATGCAGCCATTCTTCCTTAACTGTTGATAACTCTTATTTCCTAAGTGTTGGAAGGAATGAAGACTATGAGGAAAGATTCAACTGCTCTTGTAATTTCATCGCTTCACTACTCTTGTTATATTAAGTGATAAGGGCCCAATTTCTGGAGCAGTGCTATTCCCTAAGAAGCTAAGCTCTGCTTTCTTAATTTAGCCGAAAGGGGGGTTACTGTCTTTCTAGATACAGAAGTTTTGAAAATGTGGTCCTTCCAGGTTCAAGTACCAGAAGGCAACCTCCAGCTCAGCTCTCTCTCCCTTTCGTTCTTTTTTTCCTTTTTCTTTTTTTTTTTTTTTTAATAATTACGTGGGTCTTTTGTGTTTATTTCTGAGCTCTTTATGAAAGTTGAAAGGGAGGCCTGAGAAGCAAAGACAAATGCTTTGGCATATTGAAGTGTTTTGAGGTGGCAGTGTCAAGATCCCTCCAGGTCTCTCTCATGGAAATACTATTGAAATGCAAAATGCAAAATATTGCTGTCGTTACATGATGAGTTGGGTAGGTCTTGGGGGTTGTTGTTGTTGGATGCATGCAAAAAAAAAGGACAAGGTGAAACTGACCTTAATATTAGTGCTGAACTTATTACTAGTAAATTAGTAGTGACTAATACAGTACTGTGGTGTTGTGGAGAGTAGTGTTTTTTGAGCAAAGATAAAGCAAACAAACATACCAGGTTTGTGTTGACAGAAAGATCCTTGCCTTTACAAATCAGCATTCTGGCACCTCCTTCCATACAAAAGTAGCCCTTGCAAAAGGAACTGAATGGAGGTAATGGAGCCTGTACTACGAAAATAATCTAAAGCGTGACTATTAATTGCAATGTAGCTCCCCTGAGTATAGCACAGTTATTGCTTTGTAGCAAGGCTTTGCCTTGCTGTGTTTGTAAGTGCAATGCAGTGTCCTGCTTTATCTGCGCAGGGTGACACTGAATGGAAGAGGCTTATCATGG